CCCATACAGGTGTGAACCAGTGCACGTGAAGCCCCCAAGGCAGCCCCCACCCCTCGGGAGCACCCCCAGGACCTCCCCAGTGCAGGAGCTGGAGTCACTGGGCCACCAAACTCCCTGTGTTTTGCCCCAAAACCACACAGCCAGGGCTCCCCAGGCCACCACTTCCCTTTTCTTATTTTTCCCCTGAAGTGGCACCAAAAGGAGTCGGAAACCCCCCGGGGGGGGTGAGTGCTGACTCCCGGTTCCGTGCAGGGGCGTCGTGCAGGCGCGGGGCAGCGTGTACACCCGCAGCGGCAGCCTGGACCTGGGCGCCCCCGGACCACCTGCCCCCATGCTGGCCACCCCGGGGGGCTGCTCTCCTCGCCCCCCCGACTCAGCCCTCATCTACAGCAACGTGGGTGAGTGACGCCCCCAACCCCGCTGCCCTCCTGCCTGCCGAGGTGCCAGCTCAGATGGGGGGGATGAACCCCGCTGCTGTCCCCGTCCTCCTCCTGCAGCACCCGGTTGTCACCCCTCTGGCTGGCATTGGGCATCGCTTTGGGGCTGGAAATATGCAGTGGGGCAAATAACAACGAGCTTGTATCCCCCATATGGCTTCATCTCCCACTTTCTTCCCTCCCCCCCTGCCCCCCCGGGGAAGTCTGAGCCCTGCCGTATCTGCTCCTCCCTCCCCAGGAGAGCTGCGAGCCCACCTCGTCCCCCGCAAGGCTAGCCGAGGGGAAGGAGCCGGGAGACCCCCCTCTCAGTCTGACCAGGACCCCCTGCCTCCCCCATTGCCAAAAAAGCAGCTCCAGCGAGCGGAGTCCTTCCCAGAGCAGGGACTATTCCGGCACGGTCAGGACAACCCCACACCATGGGCTGGCAGCATCCTCTACACCATCCCACCACCCCATCCGCGGCATGAGGAGGGAGCTCCCAGCTCCATCCCCCCATGGGACAGACCCTCCTGGGGATCCAAGAAGCCCCTGACCAAATCCCAAAGCCTGGGGGAACCGGTGGCCTGGAGCAACCCGCAAAAAGTCCCATCACCCAGCCCAGCGGAGCTGACGTTCAGGACGGTGGACGGGGAGCTGGGGCAGCTCCTGCAGCCCCTGGAGAGCCTGGATGGGGTGGGCAGGGTGGTCTTGGGGTGCCAGGCAGCTAGCATCCTGGACCGGGCGCCGTGCTGCGAAAGCGGGGACGCTTGGTATTTCCGGGTGGGCTTCACTTTTGAGCAAACCCAGCTGGTGCTTGCAGCCAAGGTAAGCAGGGAATTTGGGGGCGGCGAGGGGAACACTCAGGGGCTCCCGGGGCATGGGGAGGCTGCGGAGCTGCAGGCAAGCGTGAACGGGGAGCGTTGGCACTGACCCCTGTCAGGCAGGCAGTTCCGCTTTCCACACCTACTTCTGCATTTGCTAAATGAGACGGTGCTGTTGGCGTGGGCCGGGGAGGCGAGGGCAAGAGCTGCCATGGGTGCAAAGGACATGTCAAGGAGAAAAGCACCGCTGAGGGAGATGCCCTGGCAAGTGGTCTTGAGGGGCCAGTAGCCACAAAGTAGAGGCTGGAGCAGAGCTGGCTCCTCAGGCAGTGCAGGATGAGACCCATCAAGGCAGCTTTGCAACTCACCTGGGGGTTACACCCCCTCCCCATTCCCATTTCTTGCTCAAAGTTGCACCAGTGGGTTCCAAGGGTGCAGGAGGAGCCCAGCACCATGCGTGGGTCGCACCAGGGCTGGTGGCCCTGAGCTGAGGCGGTGGCCCGGCCCAGGACAAGGCACCCCATGGCTCCATCCTCATGCAGCTGGTCATGCCCTGTCTCTCCTTGCAGGTCCCTAAGCGGGGCTGTGCCAGCCTGGGGGTGCAAAGCCCCTTCGGGGCACACTGCAGCATCCAGCGCCTGATCGGCCGCTTCACCGACCTCCTCCCTCAGGAGCTGGTGCTCCCAGGAAGACTTGGGGAGCATAGTCGGTCCCCTTCTGGAAAGGAGCCAGCCCGTCTCGCCACCCACCCTGTCCTGCAGGTCTTTATTTCTCCTGAGGTTCCCTACCAGACCCTGGCGGGCTTTGTGAAGGGATCCCACAGTTTACACAGGACCAGCCCCGGGCACTACGAACGCCTGGCTTGCCTCCTCCTCCTGCAGGTGTGCATGGGGCTGGAGCACCTCCGGGTGCAGAACGTGGGGCAGGGGGACCTCTGCCCTGAGAACCTGCTGCTGGTGCGGTGCCCGTGCCTTCCCCGGAGCCAGCAAGGCAAAGAGGCATCCCTGTGCCTTCCAAGGCTGCTCATCAGCAGCTTCTTCAAGGTTAAAGACAAGCGCAGATCTTGTTCTACCAGCCAAGAGCAGGACTGGAGGCAGGGGCTTGCTACACCGCCCTCCCCGGTGGCAGATGAGCTGAATGTGGGCATGCTGATCTATCAGATCTTGCATGTGGATATCTCTCTGGAAAACGCCTTGGGGTTCAGAAGCAATAGACTTCCTGAAATCCCCTCCCTGTCCATCTATTCCACGGGACTCAAGCGTCTGGCCATGCTGCTTCTCCACAGAGACCCCTGCAAGAGGGTCTCCATCGAGCAGGCCAGGAGCATCCTGCAGGTCCTGCTCTGGGGGCCTCGCCAGGAGCTCTTTGCCAGGAGCAGGAAGACCCTCGCCCTGCTCCAGAGCTGGGTGGAGGTGAAGAGGGCTCTGCTGCTCCTGAAGTTTGCGGAGAATTCGGCTAGGGCAGGGGCGAGGCCCAGCCTCGCGGAGGGGCTGGGAAAAACGGCCAGTACTTCAAGGACATCACGGAACACACGCTCTACCAGGTCACGCAGGCTCTCTACGCTCCCTAAAGGCAAAGCTGACGCTCAGCCTGCCCAAAAGGTCTCCCCAAAGCCAAGAGCCCCTGGGGACCTGGCCAAAGCCACCAGCTGCCATCTCCTCCAAGGAACCCAAGCTGGTCCTGGCTGGGAAAATTCTGTTTGCAAACCCAAACCCACTTCCCCCACAGCACACGAATGATGAAGCTGGGACCAAACACAACGCAGCGGGGGTTTTTACACCCTCGGCGGATTTTGGTTTGATGCTCTGAGTCCAGTTTATCAGAGCAGCTCAGGAACGATGGCTGGATGGAAGCCGCAGGATCAAGCACCAGTTTAGTGGCCGATTATCCCGAGTAAAGTTTACTTACCCAAAACCTGCTCAGACTCCTCCTGCAGCCACGAGGCTTTCGCTGTTTCAAATAACAGTGCAAAGCCACGCGTTACAGCCCCTCAATGCACTGTTAGCAAAGGAGAAATACAGCACCTCGTACAGCCTGCTCTTTTTAGAAACACTTTTGTGGCGTAGTCACAAATACAAATGACATTTTAAAGGAGGGAAATAGAACAGCCACACAGCTTCAATAAAACCCAGAGCTGAGCCTCTTAAGTACTGGTCCTTTATGTGTTTCTTTGACAGCGTTACACAGCCCGGTGGGCTATCCAGGAAGAAACACAAAGCCAAATTCACTGCCCAGCGGCGATGAGCCCCAACAGCCTCGATGGCATTTAGGCAATAGCTGGGGTCAGTTTATGGCTGCTACGCCCGGGGACCAGGGGCCACTGCATCCACTGCTCGGTATAAAACATGCAGCACCATGTGGGATCTGCGCCCTGCTCCCCAAACCCATGGGGATGCCGGGTGACCATCACAGTGAAATACCATGCAAGGCCCTGCTCGGGTCATTTGTATTATTAATTATTAAGTAATTATTGATGCACTTGTAGCTATCACCTGAACAGCAGCAAGAGGAGCCTCCATGGGCTGTGCACGCAGCAGCATGGACCTTCCAGGCTCCCCCCCCCTGGGGCAGCCCTGGCATGCCCATGGATGTGGGCAGCAGCACACCAGGCGGTCACCAGAGCCACTGTCACCGCTGGACTGGGGAGAATTCATCCTAGGAGTCCCTGAGCTCAAAAAAAACCCTGGTAAACCAGAGCTGTGATCCCCCCCCCAAAGGTGAAACCACAGAGCAGCAGGGTCCCAGCTCCCCGGCTGGGGGGGTTCTGCCTGCTGCCCTGCCTGCGGAGCGTGGGCAGGCAGCAGCCTCATCAAGGGCCGGTCTTGTTTAATATCTTTATCAACCACCTGGACGAGGGGATCGAGGGCACCCCCAGTCAGTTTGCAAATGACACCAAACTGGGTGGGAGTGTGGATCTGCTGGGGGGAGGAGGGCTCTGCAGGGGGACCTGGCCAGGCTGGAGCCATGGGCCCAGCCCAATGGGGTGAGGGGCAACAAGGCCAAGGGCCGGGTCCTGCCCTGGGGTCACCACAACCCCAGGCAGCGCTCCAGGCGTGGGGCAGAGCGGCTGGAAAGCTGCCCAGCGGAAAAGGCCCTGGGGGGGTTGGTCGAGAGGCCAGCAGGGTGCCCAGGTGGCCAAGAGGCCAGCGGCATCCTGGCTTGGATCAGGAGGGGTGGGGCCAGCAGGAGCCAGG